CAATAGCAGGTTTATGTGAGCTTTAGGCGTGAACTTTTAACACAGCTTTGTTGAAATCTGGATTTGTTGGGAAGCTCGACTCAACAACTGCAAACCCTTTCGCGGGTTGCCGGGCTTGAATTTTGGACCCGACCAGGAGAATGAGTATTTCGTTGCAGTAGTCCCGCGAGTAGTCTAGGTGGAAATTAGTGTCGAGGCTAGTGATGACACTGATGTCGATGCTGGCCCCTCCAGGCTGGAGTGTCAAGGCTGTTGTAGCGAGGCTGGTAGGTCGAAGGCTATTGTGTTGGAGGATGTTGTGGCGGAGGTGCTGTCGCGGGCAACTGGCCCATACGCTCCGCAGAGAATCGAATGAATTTGTTGGGGAGAAGGTGGGGTAAGATAGGGAGGTCATTATGGACCTTCTCTTTTTGTCTCATGGGACTCGGGAAATATGTATTACTTGTACGTGGCACGATACACTTTGTAAATTGACAGTCTGATCAAAAATGGCCTTTTCGGCTCCCTATTTCTTTAATTTTTCAAATATTTATTAATTACGAATGAAAGCAAAAAGCATTGCGAACATAAAGCATCACTTGAAAACCCACCAGCTAAAATGTGTGAAATACTGGTGCTTGAAGCTCGGGAAGTTAATTATTAAGCGGTACTTGGATAGCGAACATTCCGTCAAAATTTCAGCTTTCCTAGTTCCTGAGTTAGTCATTTTCCCACCAAAAATTTTCACGGGGCCGTACGCACGAACCACGCAAAGAGAGGGGCTAAATTTAGTAACTTTAAGTTGCAGATATGCTGGGGACATTCTCTGAATATTTCAGCCTCCCAGCTTTGCTGGTTCCCGTGTTTGCCATTTTCCCGCCAAAAATTTCTTATCCAGGGAGCTGAATAATTGGCCAACGCTAGGGTTGCCCGTGCGAAGATGCGTTTTTTGCATAGCTCCCCGCAGATTTTTGTCGCTAACGGCACTGTTTTTTCTGGCAGATGCTTCTAACTAAAAGAATTTCAGATTGGCTACCAGGGCTGTCAGGAAACATCCCTTCAAAATTCCAGTTTTCTAGCTTCCCAGGTCCCTCAGTTAGCAAATTACCCGAAAAAAAATTTCCAAAGGCCCATGCACGGAAATGACTCATACCCGGAGAGTAGGTTTGAACTCATTAATACCTACGTGAATGGGGAACATTCGCTTAAAATTCCAGTCTTCTAGC